AGCGGGCGCCCGGCCTGCGCAGGACTCCGCCGGAGCCGCAGGTGCGCGGCGCCCGCCCGTGCCGAGGCGCAAGGGCCGGCCAGTGCGGGCTCGTCCGGCCGCGCGGTTGGACGTGGCGCCGGCGCGCTCGAGCGCAGTGGGCTCTGTCCGCGAGCGCCCGGCTGGCCTGCGCCGGCAGCTGCCCCTCGGGGGGCGCCCGCGCCAGCTGGCGGGATGGGAAGGGGCCGAGGCAGGGGGGCAGCCCGGGCGGAGGGAGAGCCAGCGAGGAGCCCTGCCCCTGCCCGCCCGCCCTCCAGGAGAGATGGCGGGGCTCGGGGGCCCGGGGATCCCTGACTGGCCTGGGCTGCAGCCCAGGGCTCCCTGGAGCCTGCAGGGGCTCGCTGGGCGCTCGGCCCCCCTGCCCGGTGGGGGGTGGCGGGGCCCCAGGTGTCTTCCGGAGGGGTGGCCTGAGGTGCCACGTGTCTCTTGGAGGGCCAAGGAAGGAAGCAAGGAGGGCTCTGGGAGGCCTCTTTCGCCTGCCCTGCAACCCCGGCCAGCTGCGCCTGGTTGCCCGATGCTTCCCTCTGCTCCTGGAGTTTGCCAGCAGAGGACCCTGGCTCCTGGGCCACCTTCCCTGCCCCAGATGAATCAGCCAGGCAACCAAGCAGCCCCCTCTTACCATTGGTGGCCCCCCAGCCTGGTGCCCCCATGGCTGGCCCTGCCTCTCCCTCCTGTGTTAGCCCAGGCGGCATCGTTCGTGTAATTTACCCTTCTCTGGGGCTTGAGAGGCACAGTCCCTTAGGCCTTTTGCAAAAAGTGCAATACAGGACAGTGAGCGAAAGCGGGTCAAAGCCGCCTCCCCTGCTCCTCCGGGGCTGCGCTGGGTGCTCACCAGGCGGCCTTCAGGGGCGCAAGGCCAGGCCGGGGCTCAGCTCACTCCCAGCTTGAGGGAGGGGCACTGCATTGGGGTTGCTGCTGCCCAGCAGGGGAGTTGGCTCCAGGCAGGCTCCCGCAGGGGTCAGCTTCTCAGTGTCCCTGGCGGAGCCCAAGGTTGCTCCCGGTCCAAGTGGCTTCGGAATGCCCCGTGCGCTCCCGCAGAGCCGCCCACCCCCACATCCCCTCCGGCGAGATCCGCAGGCCTGGAGCCCAGCACAGCACCGTGTAGCCGCGTTGGGTGCGGCCTCTTCTGGGCCCCTTTTGCTTCACCTCGCTGATTGTACTCCTGGGGGAGGCCAAGCTGCAGCTTTGGGGGGGGGTCTATGTCTCCCTTCCCCCTCCGACCCTTCCGGCAGGTGCTGTAAGCCCACAGGCATTGACCGGAGGCAGGGAGAAGCCTCCCACCCTGCCAGCTGCTGCCCCCCTCCCCGGTGTCTCTTGTGCGGGTGACAAGGTGCTGCTTGTGAGAGGGACAGGAGGGGTCGCCTGCGTGGGCCAGGCTCGTGGCCCAGAAGCCATGGAGGCCCAGCGCAGGTAAAGCAAGCCGTGTGCCCTTTACCAGTACAGGTAAAGGAAACCGTGTGCCCAGCCCAGGAGGACGCCCTCATGGCAGCCATCCTCACCGCCGCCCGCCTCGCACGGCCACTCGCCCAGTTGGCAGTAAAAGCCCCTCACCTCACGGAGGCCCCCGCTGGCCGGCAGTAAGTAATCTTGTGAGGAGGGGGCTGAGATGGGGGTTGGGGTCTGTTCCTGCGGACATCCCGGAGAGACTTCCAGCGGGACTCGCCCACAGATCTTCCAGACAAGCAGAGTCCTTCAGGCGGACCTTCGACTTGGCTGGCCTGGGCTCTACTGCTAGCCCGGATCCGGTCTCTTGGCTCAGCTGTGGGGCAGGGATGGAGGGCTGCCCTGGGCAGAATGCTGGGCCAGGCACAGAGGGTGTCGCTCGCTGGCTCCCGATCCACGGGGAAGCTGTTGCCACCTCCTCCGCGTGCAGCTCGCACGCTGCTGAACTGAGGGTTGCAGTTGTGTGGCCCAGGCCCTCGGAGAAGAGAAGAGGCCAATTTGGACCCAGGCCTGCTGGCACCCCTCTTCTGCTTCCCCGTGCTTTCTGGTGTGCCCTGTGCCCCCCCCCAACAACTGGGGGCTCTCGCTGATATTTTTAAGTCCCCTTTGTACCTAGTTCTCCAGGCATTGCATAACTAAATACAGAAAGGGAAGGCTGCAGTGCAATCTGGAAACATCCACCAGATGTGGAGAATGGGCCCCGGAGTCCGTGGCAGGCCTGCCTGTCTAGCGTGACTGCCCTTGAGTGCTGAGAGGTCCAAGGAGCACGGCTCCCTCGCTCGCATCTGAGCCAGCCCCTTTTCGGGCTTTGTAGCAAGCAGGCGCACGCACGGCTCGCAAGCCCCTCCATTGCAGGAGGCAGCCCCCGCCGCTCACCGCACCCCGCCGAGACCGCCTTCCGAGTCCCTGCCCTGTGCGAGCCCTGTGCCTCCTTTGGCCGGCCCCGCACTGCAGGGCTGTCCCAAGATGCGTTGCTGTTGGAAACGGCACCCCCCCCGGCCACCACCCCAGGTGCAGAGCAGTGCAATGCGAGGGGAGACGTTTGGGCCCTTGAGATCATGCCCCCCCCCATGTGGGGAAAAATACAGCGGTCAGTCCTTTTTGAAAGCCGCCCTTGCGCAAGAGCCTGGCATCGCTAGCCGAGGCAGCTCCCTCACTCCGCTCCACGGCAGGGCAGGGCAGTAAGCAAGTTCCAGAAGAGGCCGGGCCTTTCCAAAGTCCCCTTGAGATGGGACACATGGAGAGCCCACCAGTCCCCTCCCGCCCGCACCGGCAGACCCACTGCCGCTGCGGACCCCGGAGCCGGGCGACGTGGGGGACAAAGGGCGGCCCCGGCCGCGTGTCCCAGCCAGTTTTGTGGACAGCCGGCTGCAGGTCAGCGACGGGGCAGTGCGGGGCACCGCCTCTGCAAACAGTCTGGAACAAGCGCGGCCTCTTTGTGGACTCTCAGGCTGCTGGGAGTGGGGAGCCCATGCGTGCTTCCAGATGCCGGGAGAAGGGCGTCTCCTTGGAGCATCCCTGCCACTTCTGGCCTGCCGGGGCTTTCCCCTCCTCGGGGCCTCTGCACCTCACTGGGGCACCGCCCCAATTGTGCGTGCTTGCCACAGGCCAGCAGCCAGCCCCGTCCCATCCCGTCGCCGGGGCTGCTCTGCTCCGGCTCACCTGCCAGGGCGCGCCTGAGCGCCTGGCCGGCACAGGGAGGCTGCTTTCTGGGCTCTGAGCGCTGTGGGAGAAGCAGGCCCCGGAGTGGGCGGCTTTCCCAGAGATGGGACTCGCGGCCGTCAGGCTCCCGGCCTGGCCCAGAACGGCCTGGACTCTGCCTGGCCGCAGGTCTGCTGTGCTGTGCTGAGGCTGGCGGAGAGGCATGTGGAGGGGCTGGCCTGACGCACCGTTTCCCCGGCCTTGCTGGCGCAGAGGCTGTTGGAGCCAGGCGGGTGCCCGGGGGGAGCAGAGGGCTCTCCTGAGGGCAGCTCTGCCTTCCGGTGCTTGGCCCTCCCGAGGAGGCCTGGGCTCTGGCATTTCCTGCCCTGCTTCTCCGTGCACTGGCCCGGCGGAGCAGCGAGGGAGAGGAGGGCCCTTGGCCGGCCAGGGGAAGTCCAAACGGCAGAGCTTTTCAAAGGTGTGCACTCTGGCGCTGGGTACAGCGGGCCCTTCCACACCTGGAAAGCACAGGCGGCTTGCAGGGGGCGGCCCCAGCAGCCGGAGGGCCTGTGGGCGACCGGAGGCACGCCCACCCAGAGCAGAATGGGCCCGGGCCCGGGCCTGAGCCGGGCCCCCCACCGGTTCCCCCACCTTGCCCCGCCCTGAGCTGGGGCTGAGGTGGGGCTGCCGGGGCCTCCACGGGCTGAGGGGCAAGCGCGCTGCTTTGTGCCTCGTTCAGCTGCGGTGGCCTCGGGCGCGCTCCCCGCCACGGAGGCCCTGCCGATGCCACGGGCCGCCCCAGCAGCCGGACGCGCGGCCCGAAGAGCCGCTGGCCGGGCGCATTCCGGCTGACAGCAGAGCGCTTGGGCTGGCTCTGGCTCTGGCTCGGGTGGGCGGGGGGGCAGGATGTTCGGCTTCTTCTGCTCCGCGGCGGCCAAAGGCGGGTCCTTGCGGCAGGTTTGCTGGGCGGAAGCGGCTCCGGGGTCCAGGCTCCCCCTCACTGTGCGCTGCGTTGCCCAGGCGGTGCTGGTCGCGGGCAGGAGGGATGCAGGCCGTGGCACTCCCGGCCCTCCCGGGGCTCCCGTGGGGTCGCCCTCCTTGCGGGACAGGCGGTCCGTGTGCGCAGGGAGCCCGGGGCCCCAGCACAAGGGGCCGGCCTGGGAGCTGCCCACGCATACCCTGTGCCTGGGCCGCTTTCACAACGCTCGCTCCCTGTTGAGGCAGGCGCCAGGCGGGCTCCGCTCCCGAATCAGAATCGGCAGGCGAAACCGGTTCTTCCGGAACGGCTCTGTTCCTCGGGAGCTGCCGCCGCACCTTGCGGGGCGACGGCTCCTGCTTGGCCAGAGCCCCTGCAGGAGAGGGGGCCGGACACCCTCGCGGTGTGGGGGGGCAGGCAGAAGGCGCTGCCGTGCTGAACCGCTTGGGCGGCACGGGCCCCGTCCTCCTGCCAGCCGCCGGAGCATCTCTCTTCTCTCACGCAGGTCCCTTCCAGAGCTCCCTTTCTCAGCCACCAGCCTGCCGGGCCGCCGCCCCTATGCAACGGAGGTGGAGGAGGTGAGAGCCCCGCACGGGGCCACTGAGGCCCCTGTGGGGGAGTGGGGCTGCCGCAGCGGCGCAAGGCCGCCCCCGGGCGCTTGGGAGGGGAGCCCAGGGGGCCAGGCTGGCCAGGAGTGCAACCCAGGCCTCAGCCCAAGCCCTCCCTGGCTCCCATGGCCGGCGGCCCGGGTTCCCTCCTCACCCGGGGTCCCGTCCTGCGGAGCCAGAGGCTCCTTCCCCAGGAGGGCTGTGGCTGGGCTGGCGGGGGCGCCGCCTGCAGGTGCGGGGCGGCTGTCGCCTGTCTCTGAGGCTCACGTGCACCCTCCGTGGGCGTCCCCTGCAGGAAGCCGAGGGCTTCCGAGGCACATGCAGCTGTCGTGCCCCGACCCAGCCCAAGGCCGGGGGCCAAGTGCCCCTGCAAGAGAAGGCAGGCTGGAGCAGGCCGGATTCGCGCCAGGGCGTGACTGGGGCCCTGGGCCTGTCTCGACGGCAGGGCGGCCCATGAGCCGGTCAGGGCACACACTGACCTTGCCCTAGCGCACGGGCGCTCCTGGGACTGGGCTCCGTGGGCTGGGAGGGGTGGCGGGCATGAGGGGGGGAGCAGGCTGCCGGGAAGAGGCCCGTGGGCAGGCGCGGGGGAGCAGGGGGGCTGCGGGTGCCTGCAGCCCTCGGTGACCCCTGCCCGCTCTCCCCGCCTCCGTCTGTCAGATCGGCGAGCGGCCCGTCCTCATCACCGGCTGCGACTCCGGCTTTGGCTTCGCCCTGGCCAAGCACCTGCATGAGAAGGGCTTCATCATCTATGCCGGCTGCCTGCTGAAGGTAGGGGGCGCCTGAGCGGGGGGCAAGGAATGCTGCGGGGCCACGGACCACAGGTGGGGGGCGCTGGCCGAAGGGTGCTGCGGCAGCACGCGCCCCCTCCCGTCGCCCTCCCGTGGAGCCGCCATCCCGCCTCGTGGCCTGCACCGTGTGGGTTCTCTGGGCCGGCTTTCAGCCAGGCGGGGGCCGCGGGCTGGACCATGGGAGGCGCCTGGAGCGGGTGTGGGGCCGTCCCGCCTTGCGAACGGGGGGCAGCAGCGATGCGCAGGATCCCTCCTCTGCTAAGGGGCTGGCAGGTGTGGCTCGAGCGAAAGCTTTCCTGACCACCCCGCATGGAGGGGGTGCTGGGCTGGGACACCAGGGAGCCCGGCTCCGGTCGCCACTGGCTCAGCCGCGAGGGCCACTGGCTGCCCGGGCCCTTCCCGGCTCGCGGCACGGCCCTCCTTTGAGTCGCTGTGAGGGCGACCTGGAGAGCCGGCAGCCCGGGCGCTGGTGAGAGGCGCGGAGGTGGGAGTTGGGGCGGAGCACTGCTGGCGATGCCGCTCCTGCTCGCCCGTGGGTGTGCGGAGCACATGTGCGCGCGTGTGTCACCTGGAGGAAAGGCCTGCTCTTGCACGCGGCCTCGGCCTCGCCACCCCAGATCGTCACGGGTCGCTCCGTCTCCTCACCTCCTTGTCCCAAAAGAGGTTCTGCTGGAACAAAGGGGGGCTGAGGGTGCCGGAGGCGGGGCCTCTTCAGATCCCGGGCTTGAGCGTGGGTACGCAGGTGGCCGTGCGGGGCAAGAGACGGCCACCCCCTCCCCCCGCAGCGGGGGGGGGAGCTCTCGGCCGCCCCCACTGGCCACACGCTGAGGCCGGAGTATTGATCCCCTCTCAGGAGCAGGGCCGGGGTGGTTCCAAGGATCTGGACGGCATGAAGAGCGACCGGATGAGGACGGTGCAGCTGAACGTCTGCGACAGCGAGGACGTCAACCGCGCTGTGGAGTACATGACGTCCACCCTGAAGGACCCGCAGACTGGTTGGTGGGGAGCCGGCAGGCTCTGGCCGTGGGGGGTTTCAGCCTGGGCCCCACCAGCCGCCCCTGCGTGGCTCCTGGTGCCCGCACGGCTGAGGGTCCGGGGAGCATGCAGCCGCGGGGTGGGGGGGCATGGTCCTGGGGCGAGGGGCTTTGCATGGGGCATGGAGGGACCGCACTGCCCCGATCAGGCCCGGTGCCCCAGTCCACAGGCTGGTGAACCAATGCCCAAGCGCACAGGCCCAGCTGCAGCCCAGGGCGGGGGTGTCCCTCAAGCACACCCCAATTTTGGGACAGGAGTGAGCAGGGGGGAGGGGAAGGCCTCGGGGAGCAGCGTCTGCGTGGGCCAGAGGCCAGCCAGCCCAGGGAGGCGGTGCAGGGGCTCCTCCGGGCAGCAAGATGGGGGCAGGGACCGCTGGGGGGCCCGCTGGGACTGCTCCGCAGCGCTGGTGGGGGCGCAGAGGCAGGGCCGTCCACATGTGGCATCTTCCTCTCGCGCTCTCCAGGACTCTGGGGCCTCGTCAACAACGCCGGGATCTCCACCTTTGGGGAGGTTGAGTTCACCAGCATGGACACCTACAAGGAGGTGGCTGAAGTGAACCTGTGGGGCACCATCCGCACCACGAAGGCCTTCCTGCCCCTCATCCGCAGGGCCAAAGGTGCGTCTCGTCTCATCCGCAGAGCAGAGGGCCCCTCACCCCGTGGCCAGCAGCGAGCTGTGCGGGCCTCCGCTCGGGCCCCTACTGAAGGCTGGCCGTGCTCCAGGGCCCCTGGGGGCCAGCTCCGGGGGAGCCCCTCCCTCGCAGGGCGCGCCGCTCAGCCCCCGCAGCCTCCTGCAGCCAGCCCAGCTGCCAGCCCTGCCCCAGGCCAGGTGCGATTGACTGGCCCGGCCCGGCCCGGCCGCCGGCGCAGCGTGACAGCGCCACTCTCCCTCCACCACAGGCCGCGTCGTCAACATCAGCAGCATGATGGGCCGCATGGCCAACCCCGCCCGCTCGCCCTACTGCATCACCAAGTTCGGGGTGGAGGCCTTCTCGGACTGCCTGCGCTACGAGATGCGCCCCCATGACGTGAAGGTGTGCATCGTGGAGCCCGGCAACTTCATCGCCGGCACGAGCCTGTACAGCCCCGAGCGCATCCAGGCCATCGCCGACAAGATGTGGGACGAGCTGCCCGAGATCGTGCGCCGCGACTACGGCCGGAAGTACTTCGACGAGCAGATCGCCAAGATGGAGTCGTACTGCGGCAGCGGCTCCTCGGACACGTCCCCCGTGATCGACAGCATCACGCACGCCCTGACCTCCACCACGCCCTACACCCGCTACCACCCCATGGACTACTACTGGTGGCTGCGCATGCAGGTCATGACCCACATGCCGGCCGCCATCTCGGACCGCCTCTACATCTACTGAGGGGTGCGCGCCCTGCGGCCGGATCCAGGGAGGGAGCTCCCCGCGAAGGTTGCGCTGTGCAAGTCCCCCCGTAGTCGCTTGGTTAGTTGATTCCCGAGCCCCGTATGCTAGCCCTAAGCTGTTCTTGTTGTTGTTAACTTATGCCTCTGAGCAGAATTCGGACCCCCTGCAGGGTGTGCCCGGCGAGCAGGACCGAGCGCGCCGTCCAGAGGGAGCCAGTCCGTTCATTCCAGCGGTCCCCGGGTCTCCTTCCTCATCCAAGCATCTAGACAAATGCTTGACTTCAGTGGCAGCAGCTCTGAAGAACTGGGGCTTCTGGAGTCCCACCTTTGTGGAATATTGTTACGGGGAGGTGAGGTGGCCTCCCACCCAGCACGCCGTGGCAGCCGCAGCCCCACCAGGGCAGCCGGGAAGTCCTTCCCAGGACGCAGGGGCCGGACCTGGCAAGGCTGCCCACCTGCCCCGCGGGGCTTCTGCTGTCAAGGGCGGGTGCTGGATGAAAGGAGCCCTCCCAAAAGGCAGCCACTCGGCTGCGCACGCTCCTTCCACGCGCTCAGCAGACCAGGCCCCCTCAGCTTCCACAGGAGCGCCCGTCCCCACGCATCCCACAGCCGTGCCTGGGCCGCCCCGTCCTGTGGAGGGGGCATGTGCAGGATCCGCGCGCATGGCCCCCTCCCTCCCCACACGCCTGTCCCCGGGGCCGTGCCTGCGCTCGTAGCTCTGTGGCTGAAGCCAGACTGGTGCCCATGGACAGCCAGCGCCACCAGCCACACACTCCAGGGGGGATGTAGGCAGGCTGTCCTTGGACCAGGAAGGAGCTCTTCCCATGGGGCTGCAGAGGTCCAGCCCACCCCATGCTGCCCCCCCATCAGCTGGGGCCTGCCCTGCCACTCCACAGACCCGAGCCCCTCAGAGGGTGCAGCCCCCGAGGTCTTGCATGGGCCCTCAGGAGGGGTCCCGGGCAGGCAGCGGGCCCTGCTGGCAGCCCGGCTGACACTCCAGGCTCCCCCCAGTGCTCTTTGTACTGACGGTCCCTTGGAGACGTTTTCTTGATGCTCCGCAGGGGAACAGAACTCTCACTGGAAGCTTGTTGGGAGCGTTTGCAGCAGTGGGTGGGCAGGGCAGGGCAGGGGGCTGCATTTCTGCAGCGAACTGACAACCCGAGGAGGTGCCTGTGCCCGGGTGCCTCTGCCTTGACTAACATTAAATGACAGTGACAGAGCTGGGCTGTCTGACTTGCGTCTCTTTCCGGGTGAGGAAAGCGAGGCTGTGTGGGGTGGCAGGGGGGTCCTCGGGGTCTGTGGCAGGCGGGGGACGAGGGTCCCCCTGGCCAGGGAGGAGAGCAGCAGCAGCAGCATGGAACAGTGGGGCCGAAAGGGGCGTGAGGCTGCCTCCCCCCTCCACGGGCTGTCCAGCTTCTCTCTCTCTCAGGCAGTGTGCCCGGGAGCAGGGCAGGAACCTGGGTGCCACAATGGCTCCGGGGGAGACGGGTGCCCGGTCCCCACCGCAGAGGCAGATTCATGCCTCTTGAGTGGGGGGCAGCGCAGCCCTGGAGTCGGCTCCCACACAGCCGGGAGAGCTCCCTTTCCACATGGCTGCAGTGCACCGAGGGCTCACTGAAGCAGCGAGGAGCCCCCCACCCCGGCCAGCCTTGGAGCAGGGCGGGAGGCAGCGGGGGATGCCTGGCGGGGGCCTCCCGGCCCTGCTGGCCTGGGCTGCTGGGCACAGGCTTGGAAGGGCTCAGCTGGGCTCCAGAGGTGGTGCTGGGCAAGCAGGAGCACTGGGGCCCCATGGAAGCCCTTTACTCGTCCCGCCTCCGCCCGGGCGCCAGGCAAACTGCGGGGGAGGCTTCTGGGAGAACGGGCACTGGCCTTGCCCCCTCGCCATTCCTCAGGAGAGGTGGTAGATGTCACCGACGCCAGTGCTGTCCGGCTGCCTCCTGGGACCTCCGGTGTGGGAGAGCCCACCACCTCCCTCTGTCGTGGGTTCCGTTGTCATACTGCTCTAACCGTCGGGAGGTTCTTCCTGATGTCCAGCCAGAAGCTGGCTTCCTGCGATCATTCCCGTTGTTCCATGTCATAGAAGCATAGAAACAGAGCGAGTCAGAAGGGGCCTCCCGGGCCATCTAGTCTGACCTCCAGCACCAGTCGGCTCTGCTCACGACATGCCCACCATGTGGACGTCCAGCCTATCCTTGAACACCCGCACCGAGGGACCTCAACGACCTCTCGTGGAAGCCCATTCCATGCCCTCGGGGTCCTGACTGTCAGGAAGCGCTTCCTGGCATCCAAACTGAACCTTGGTTCCCTGAGCTTGGCTTCGTTGGAGCGCGTTCTGCCTTCCTCTGCAGGGGAGAACAGGTCTCTGCCCACCTCCGTGTGACACCCCCTCACATGCCTGTATGTTGCCAACAGATCCCCTCTGAGTCTCCTCTTCTCCAGCCTGAAGAGACCCATTTCCCTCAGTCTCGCCTCATGTCCTGCACTGTGGCATGGTTGAGGAGAGATCCTGGCCCTTCTCTATGTGAAAACCTTTCAACGCTGTGAAGAGTGTTATCATGTCTCCCCTCCGTCTTCTCCAGGCTAGACATTTGCAGTTCTTGCACTCCTTCCTCAGATCTTTGTCTCCAGTCCCCGAATTGTCCCTGTTTCCCTCCTTGGAGCCCTTCCCAGCCGGTCTACATCCTCCTTGAACTGTGGTGCCCAGGACTGGATGCAGCCCTCCAAAGGACGCCTAACTCGTACTGACTACATGGGAATCCTGGAATTGTAGAACAGTAAGAGTTGCAAGGGGCCAGAAGCCATCTGCTCCAACTGGCTGCTCCATGCGGGACTCCATGTTAGACCATCCCTCCCAGGTGCCCGTCTGGCTGGTCCTTGAATGCCTCCGGTGGGGGAGAGCTGCCACCTCCCTCGGCTGTTGGGTCCATTGTGGCACTGCTTAGCAGTTAGGAGGGTCTTCCTGATACCTGGCCGAACTCTGGCTTCCTGTCCCTTGAACCTGTTATCCCACGTCTTGCGCTCTGGGATGATAGGGAGAAGAGCCTGGCTTTCCTCTTTGTGACAACCCTTCGAGTACTTCTGGAGTGCTCTCGTATCTCCCCCCCGGTCTTCTCTTCTCGAGGCTAAATATGCCCGTGCTTTCAATCTCTCCTCACAGGGCTTGGTTTCAGCGTCTTGGTTTGTCAGCATCTTTCTGTGAACTGGGCACAGCACTCAGAGTGGGGCAAAAAGAGGGGAATCCGGACCTCGCATCATTTGGAGGCGCTGCTTCTGTCCGTGTGGCCAAAATACACGTGCTTTTTCTGCAGTCACGTCACATCGTGCCCGAATGCCCGAGACCTCAGGGGAATCCCCCTTCCCAGCTGCTGCCAGCCCACCAGGGAGGCCGCCACGCTCCAGGTCCTCTTCTGAGCATGGGGGCCCCACTTCCCTTCTCTGCCCTTCCTGCCACAAGCCAAGCACCGCCCCACCGGCCGGAAGGTGGCAAGGCCCGCTGCTGAGGCAGTGCCACGGCGGGTCGGCCAGGTGGGCGCCGTGCCAACCGTGGTCTCGTCTCGGCACCCGGCATGTGCCCTGCAGTCTGCAGCTCTGTAGCGTCCCCAAGCCTCCCCTGTGGTGCCGAGCCCTTGCAGGCCCCGGGGGCTCTGTTCAAGGCCTGCTGGCTGCCCACCCACACCCCGCAGCCTCAAGCGATGCTGCCGGCCTTCCCGCTCGGGGTCGAGGCACCCTCTTGGTCATGCTGGGTTGTCCTGCAGGCGGGGTGGGGCGGGCCGGGCCGGGCCGGGCCTGGCCTGGCCTGCCTCGCGTTGCTCTGCTTGGGGGTCTGCCAGGAAACTCCCCAGGAAATGCTTTCCAGGTGGAAACATCTTTTTCTGCCGGGCAAACAGTTGAACAGGAAGCAGGGTTGGTGGTGCGGCTGCTGGGCAGGAAGTTGTGTTGCTTTGTGCACATCAGTTCCATCTCCAAGCACGTGGGGGTCGAGGGAGGGGGCACCCCCACTTTTATTTGCCCTCTGAGTGGGAGAAGGAAGCAGGGTAAGGGGTGTTCCGCATCCGCTCGAGGAAGGGAGAGGAGGGCACCGGGGAAGAAGGGGCTGGAGGAGCCACGTCCAGTGGAGGGGAAAGAGGGCAGCCTCCTCACCGTTCCCTGGCATGGCAAGAGCCCCTCTCGTGGTTCGGACGTGCAGATCTGCCAGACTTGCAACCACTGGGGTACTTTTTTCTGTTTTACCCCTTTTTCAACTCTTTCCCCTCCTTTTTATCTTTCTTGGTTTTGTTCCTGGCGACAGCCCGCCATTTGCCGGTAGGGCCGTGTGGTGAACCGTGAGGGAAGGCAGGAGAAGGGGCTGGTAGGCCCAGCAGGGTAGCGGAAAGCAAGGACCGAGAGGACCACCGGCAGCAGGGACCTGCCAGCTCTGCGCAAGGTTTCTTGTCTGAGTTCAGCATAGGCTACACGCGCCACGAGTCCAAGCTAGTGGCCTGCTAGAGGCAAAGGTGAGAGACGCAGAGCGGTAAATATCCACCCTCGGGAATAAAAGACGAAGAGTGTTTCGGCCGAGCTGTGGAACGACAACAGCCAAGTGTAGTGCAGGAGCTGGGAGTGCCGCACCAAGCCGAGGCAGAAAAGGAGAATCCTGAGGGAAGGGAAAATGAGGCAGGAACTCCCTGGAAAGGGGTGGCTATGAGGAGCAGGAGAACCAGAAGATGCTCTGCACCAGCGGAAGCAGTGGAACTATGGATCCACTTTCAGTTACTCAAGGGTGAGACAGGAGGGCAGCCGGCCGTGGAAGAACTGCAAGTCACCCCGGGCAACGCTGAGCAAGAGGCCTGAGGTCAACCAAGTGGTGGCAGTGAGACCACGGCTTGCAAGAGCAGGACGAGAACAGTGTCAGTTGAGGGAGACTCCCTGCTGTGTGAGACGGGACCACGTGCGTGTCATGACCTGCATCTTTGAGAAATCACGGAGAGGACGTTCTAGCAGATTGGAGAAGGGGCAATGCTGTCCCCATCTTCAAGAAGGGGAAAAAAGAGCCCAGGAACTGTGGACCAGTCAGATGGACATCAACCCCTGGGAACATTCTAGAGCAGGTTATAAAATAGCTGGTCTGCAAACAGCTTGAAAACAATGTAGTCTTTACTAGAAGTCAGCATGGATGTCTCAACAACACATCGTGCCAGGCTAATTCTATTGCAGTTTCTGATTGGTCACCTCCCTGGTGGACTGTGGGCCTGCTGAGGACATAATCTCTCTTGACTTCAGCAAAGCTTTTGACCAAGCGCCCCAGGCTGTCCTGATTAGCAAACGAGCTCAAGTGGATGCAACAACTCAGGTGGAGCCACAGCTGGCTGCAGAATCGGGCTCATCAAGAGCACCTTCTCAGACTGGGGGGAGGTAATGAGTGAGGTACTAAAGGGCTCAGAATGAAATTTAATTAGGAGAAATGCCGCGCTCTTCACCTAGGAAAAATAAACTAAGTACATCATTACAAGGTGGGGATCCTACAAGTCCGAATGTTCTCAGAACTGTTGTAGATCACAAGCTGAATACGAGTCAGCGGTGTGATGTGGCTGCAGAAAAGCCCAGTGCTTATTCTGGTTGCCCCCGTTCAGCTCTCGTTAGCCCCCATCTGAAGTGGTATGTCCAGCTCTGTGCACAACACTTCAGGGAAGATGCCGGCAAACCGGGGACAGCTCAGAGGAGGGCAACAAAGACGCCCTCCACGCTTTGCGTGCCCGGCATTCCCTGCAGGAGCACCGACTGAGTCGCCCAGTTTCTGCGCTGTTGGCGCAACTCCCAGTGCCACACGGGACTGCCTGGCCGCACAGGGGATCTCCTGGGGTGCCTGTGCAGCCGTGCGATGCCCCAGCCAGGCATTCGGGCCTGGACCGCTCTCCGAGGAGCCATGCAGTGAGACGGTGGGCAGTGCCACCCGCCCCCCGCTGCAAGGGCAGCGGATTCACCCTGCCCTTCCTACGCCTGCCCTGGACATGGCTTAGAGCCGTTCCTTGTTTCCGGCAACCTTCAGAGCAGCCCCAGGGCCCGCTTCCTCTTGGGTGGGCCCAGCGCCTTGGCCCGTGGCGGGCTTTTCTCCGCTGCGCTGCTTACCCGTCGCTGCCAGGCCTGTGCTGCGTAACATCCTGCAGGGTGAAGAGATGCGGGGCGCTCAAAGGCTGCCATGGCGGTCTGATCGCTTGTTGACCTCGGAGAGCTTGTGCACCGT